CCACTTCTTGGTTGGAGTGGGGGGGAACTCCTCCATGGCTTCCTCAGCTATATTGTTCAGGACCTGATGGAAACAGACTTGTATAAGCTGCTCAAGAGCCAGCAGCTGAGTAATGACCATGTCTGCTACTTCCTGTACCAAATCCTAAGAGGCCTCAAATATATCCACTCGGCCAATGTGCTCCATCGGGATCTCAAACCCTCCAACCTGCTCATTAACACCACTTGTGACCTCAAGGTGAGAAAGCAGAGGTTAGAAACCATCACTTCTCTTCCTTCAACTCACTCTACCTCATATGCACTTGATGGATACCACTTGCAACCTCTGTGTCAAGGAGCACATCCTCTAAGCTGCTTGTCATTATATGTGACCCTAAGGTCTTTCCTCTCTCCCCAAATGGTTCTTCCACGCTGACTCTTACCTGACAGTTCATTTTTTCATCATTATCTTCTACACATATCAAATACCTATTATGTTTACGATCTTTTGCTAGCAGAGGATGAAAAGAGATATGATATGGTCCTCCATAAACTTAATCTGTTTGGGAAGACAGGATGAGACACACAAAATACATGCCTAATAAAAAACTGGTGAATAGACTTCCTGTGGAAAAAAGCTTTTATTCTTATATTCTAAAATATTAAATGAGGTTATGTCTATAGCAATAAATACTTATTTTATGTAGCAATTAGGGGAAGGAGGGATAAAAATAGTTTTAATTTCCTTTGTTTTGTTCCAGATTTTTCTCAGCCTCCTTTATTCCTGATGTAGTTCATGTTCCCTAACCAGTATTCATGGGTTCTGTCAGCATATTTCAATTTCAGAAATATTCTTTGGTCATATTAGTTTGGGAAACATTAGCCATTTCAGACAGTAAATACTCTTAAAGTTGTTGATAGAGATAAGTTCACATTAGTAATGAGAGGAGGCAACACGGGCCTTGAAAAGTTAACATTTAGGTCATTACCCCAGGAAAGAATTATAAGCAGGGAGAATACACAAAAGCATGGAGGAAGACTACAAAAGGCATGTTTAGGGGACAGTAAATAGGACCATTTGTTTGGAGTTGAAAGTTTGTATTGGAGAACAATGAGAAATAAGCTGAGTTGGGGACAGATAATGGCATTGAATGTGAATCTAATAAATTTGTACTTTATGTACAAATGATAGGACACCATTGACTGAAAATGAAGTGGTTTTTGTTTTTTTCTCCAAGATCTGTGACTTTGGCCTGGCCCGAATTGCTGACCCTGAGCATGATCACACAGGCTTTCTGACAGAGTATGTGGCTACCCGATGGTACAGAGCACCAGAGATCATGCTCAATTCCAAGGTGAGGAGGTGAAGCCATCCCCAGACCTTTCAGAAAGTCTGTTCCGCTTCCAAGTGAGGGTACTGGAGGAGAGGTGTGAGAAGCCATAAAAAGGGGACACTGAGACTGTTCGGTGGTCATAGGTGAAACTTTTATCCAGAGCGCTATGAAGAGGATGGGTTATTTTCATATCTCCTGATCTCAAGTTACAGTTATGGGTGTTTATATGGTAAGGACAGGAAAGAGGAATTGGCCAACTCTGTCAGCAAGTACCAGTTCTGCTAACCCAGAGAGGTAATGACAGGGGCACCAAAGCTCATTTGAGAGTCCCTTTACCTTCAGTGGGCCCTGCTGGGGCAGAGGGGTTGGAAGGAAGGAGTAGGAGTACAGGTTCTAGAGCTGGTCAGAGAAGCTGCCTGTTTGGGATAACCCCGTGGCTACCTATTATTTCCCCCCATATCAGGGCTATACCAAGTCCATCGATATCTGGTCTGTGGGCTGTATCCTCGCAGAAATGCTCTCCAATCGACCCATCTTCCCTGGGAAGCACTACCTGGACCAGCTGAACCACATTCTAGGTGAACAGGCGGTGGAGGGGTGGGGGTGAAGGGTAGGCTGACAAGGTGAATTGGTAGGGGCCCTGTGAGCTAACAGCTAGGATGGGGGAGGGGAGGCATTTTCAGAGTGGGTTGGCTAAGGAAGGGTATCATAGGACTTAGATATCATCCAGTCCAGCTTCCTTTTTTTTTTAAACAGGTAAGGAGCCAAAATCCCAAGGAGGTAACATGACTTATACAAGGTCACACAGCTAGTAAATAGCAGAGCCATGCTTCAAACCCAGGTCTTACGACTCCAAATCCAGTGCTCTTTCTATGTCTTCCCTAGAGGGAGTTTAGTACTGTTTGCTAGAGCAAGGATGTTCTGGTTTTCAGCTTCTAGACTATTCAGGTTCTCTTTATTAGTTAGGATAAGTTCCTTCTGAGCTAGTTGCCTTGGGAAGATGAATATCAGCAGTAATCCCCTTGTTTCTTTGATTTCCTTCTCATGTCTTGTTGTGAACTTTCCTTTGTTCCCAGGTATCCTGGGTTCTCCATCCCAGGATGATTTGAACTGTATCATCAACATGAAGGCTCGGAACTACCTGCAGTCCCTTCCATCCAAGCCTAAGGTGCCCTGGGTCAAGCTGTTTCCCAAAGCAGACCCCAAAGGTGAGGGGGAGGGAAAGAAATGGGATAGATAACTCATAAATAAGAAGAGTGGGAAAATTTGGCTGTGGAGAGGACTTGAGGTTGGGGGCAGTATAGGATTAGAATTTCAGTCCACATAGGGGAGCAGGGTAGAGGTGGGGGAATATCCATATCCTAGTTCCACTAACTAAAGGAAACCAGCTTTGGTGGTGGGTCTCTCCCTGACCAATAGAGTTTGCGTCCCCAGTTCCATTATCTAAATTTAAAGGGGCTCTTAAAAGCGGGGGGGGGGGGGAAAGAAAAATATCTAGTATACCTTTCCCTCCTCCCCATCCCTCATGCCCACCCTGCCCCATGAGGCAACGATTTGTGGGGTCCATGCCTCTGACCTATGACCTCACCCAGCCCTGGACTTGCTGGACCGGATGTTGACCTTTAATCCCAACAAGCGAATCACGGTGGAGGATGCCCTGGCCCATCCCTATTTGGAACAGTACTATGATCCAACTGATGAGGTAGGACCAGGGGCCGGGAGGGTGGGAAAAGGCAGAGTTCTCGGATGGATGCCTCTCTGAGGCCTCTGACTTTGATCTCCCCCTGCCCTTTCTTTTCCTAGCCGGTGGCAGAAGAACCCTTTACCTTTGACATGGAGCTGGATGACCTGCCAAAGGAACGGCTGAAGGAGCTCATCTTCCAAGAGACAGCCCGATTCCAGCCTGGAGCCCCAGGAGCCCCCTGAGACTGGGACCCTCTCCTCATGAGGACCTGGTAAGTGCTTCTGATCCATTTGTGCGCTTATACCCCTGCACACGTCCTGTGTGTGAGCGCCCACCTACGGCCCCATTACCATGAACGTGAGGTATGTGAACACACACCTACAGACACCTGGGACACAAAGGCCTGCGTGTACGCACCCTGTATGTGTACAAATACATTTCCTTCTCCACCCCATGTGTCCACAAACCCGTACCTACACACTTCTCTAAATAAACACCGACTCCAGTGTACCTTTACATCTCTACCTGTTGTCCTAGGTTTGCTTTCCCCGGCGAGACCCACCCCTCTCCTCCCCGCCTCCTTCCACTGGGCTTTTCTACCTTAATCACCCCTCCTGTGTCCGTCTAGCCCTATGGGATGGAAAAGCCAGGGTTTCCTGGGGCTAAGTTTGCTTGGGTCCCCCTATCAACCTCTCTCCTGTTACTCAGTCTGTCCCAATAGGGATTGGGGTTCTCCCTTCAGGGTACCTCCAGTCTACGTTCCTTGGGCTCCTAGGAGTTTGGAACTGCAAAGTAGCTTCCAGAAAGAGATTGTCTGGAGTGGCCTTTGCACCAAAGGGGCATCCCTTCAGTAATCCCTTTTCTTCCAGTCTGAATAATAGTGGTACAACCACACTTCTTGGCTCCTTCAGCCCAAGGAAGGGGATATAAATATTTGGTGAGGAGGCTAACATGCCCACACATGCCCTAAGGCCCAAGCCAACCTTCCCTGACCCCTATTATTCAGACCAAGTATTCAGCCACCTTTGGCTAATCAGTTCCCTGCCTCTTTCCTATGATCTTTTGATCTCAGGTTCCTTTTCCCTCTTCATAAATCTCTGAATTTGGGTCTTGGCCTCTCTTTTTCCATCCAGAGTCTGAATTCCACCTGCCTCTTTTCCTGCTGGACTGTTTGAAACTGGATGCCACTCACACCCTGGCTCCCCCATTCCAGGCAGGGGACGGATGGGTGTGTGTGTGGGGGTGTCTGGGCCCCTCTGTCCTAACATGCTTTATCTCAGAGACAGCCTTTCATCCCCTTTACTTCAGGCAGAAACCATGGCCCCTTCTGCAGCTGGGGGTTCTGGACCAAACCTTTGCTCCCCTGGCTAGCTCACCACTGCCCCAAAAGCCTTCACTCCCCTCCCCACTTCAGTCTGGCCTAGGGAGCCCAAGACTGCTTTGCCCCAGGCCTTTCACATGCTCCTTTTCTCAAGGGCTAGTGCTGCTTCTCAGCCTTTTAATCCCTACAAGGCACCTTGAAGAATGTGTTTGGTGGGGGTGAGTGGGGAGCGAGTTAGAAGGGTTCTGGCTCTTTCACATGATTGATACCTCCCCCAGATCTTCTCTAACCTCTGTGGAACATTCCTGATTCTCAAGGGCTAGTTTTCAGATTGAGGAGAAAGGAAAAGGTCTGGAGGAGGAACTGGGGTCCTTCCTTCAGACCCTGGGCTATGCCCCTGAAGCTGCCACGTTTAACCCCATTGCCCCTTCACCCTTCCTGGAAGGGATGCCCCTGCTGCTTGTGTGTGTGTGAGTGTGTGTGGGAGGGAAGGGCTGGCCAGCCAACCCTGCGGTATGATAGGGGGAGGCCCTACTACCGTCTCCCAGCATCTGTATCTAATATATAAATATATAGATGTGTATCAGAATCCCCTGCCTCTGTGTCTGTCTTTGCTGCCATCTCCTCAGGGCTTCATCAACATCACCTTCTGGACCTTCCTTGGGGTAGACTGGCCCTAGGGCATTTCTGGAGGGTGTGGGGTGGTGAGGAGGTTGAGAGTGCTTAAAAGGAAACAGCTTCAGCCCTACCCAACTCCAGAGCTCTTTGACCTCAGCTAACCAGATGACTCCTTTCCCCCACCTCCAGCATACTTGAATGGCTCTAGGTTGGACCTGGGGTGGGGTAGGGGAGGTGGAAGAGTTTGGAAGAGCCAAAGGTACATGTAGGGGACTACCAAAAGAAGAGTGGGGTCATTTTCCTCATTAAATCCCCACTCTCTTCTCACCCTTTCCATTTCCTGTCTAACTGGAATGGGGGTGATTCAGGGGTTTCCCATATGCTCCCACACCTCATGACTGCCTGGAGGGCAATGGGTTCACCCTAGCCCTGGGCACCCAGGGAAGAGGGGGAAGGGAGCTCTCAGCACTCCTAGCTGGGAGACAGAAGTGGCCTTTAGATCAGCAAGGGGCGCCAGCAGGGGTGCTAGAGTGGGCTTTCCTGTTCCTGTTCTGCTCTGTCCCTAGGGATGGAAAGCAGCCTAAGGCTGGTGGGGGGTGGGGACATGGCCTGGGGCTGTCCAGGTCCCTGGATGTCCCGCCCTGGCTCCTGCCCTACCGGCTGGGCCTCCTGCCAGAGGCAGGCTCAGCAGGTCCTAGGGGCGTGGTAGAGCTGCAGAAGCAGAGGCAGAGGTAGCCTTCTGCCTCAGAGGGAGCCTTCTACAGCCAGAAAAGGAGCTGGAGAGGCAGCCAAGTGGAAGCTCAGCCTGCAAGGAGCAGGAGACCCTCATACCTCATCCTCCGATATCAGCTTCTTCCATGAGCTCCTTTCTCTACTATGCCCTCCCTGCCCTGGGGGGCTATACTCTACTATCCCTGCTCTTCCTCCGATGGCCCCGGCTGCTCCATGTCACCCGGAACCCTGCCTTCCGATGCCAACTTGCTGCCCACAGAGGGGGTGAGGACATTGCTTCCAAGGGATAGACAGCAATGAGTTTGGGACCAGGAGACAAGAATGGAAGGGGAGGCTTGGAGAAAGATGAAAGGTTCTGGGGTGTGTGGAGGAAATGGAATGAATGATTATAATTGTCAGTAAAAGATTAAAATTGTTAGTATGTGGCTACCAGGGATCCTTCTCTGTTTTGAGTGTGACACCACTGTAAAGGGTGGATGAGATAGAATTAGGGAGGAGAAGAGACAGAGGATTAGGGCAGGGAGACAGATTCAAAGGGATGGGATTGGGTAGGGGATACTGCTGGGGAATGGATTGGGGAAAAGGCTAGGACTAGTGAGAACAGACAAGTATTTGGGAATGGAATGGAACTGGAGAAAGAAGAAACAGGTTCTAGGGAATGGAAAAGAAGAAATTAGGAGGATGGAGGAGTGGCATGGAAAAAGGAGAGACCAGGTACTGATTAGAGGGACAGAGAGAACAAGGAGGTGCAGAGGAATGGAATGAGATTGAAAGAAAAACAGGAACTGAAGAAGAGAGCCCAGGCTTATGTCCCATCCCTTAACACAGGTTCTGGGGAACGGCTTGAGAATACCATGGAGGCCCTTGAGAAGTGAGTCTGTTCCTCAACTTTGATTTCTGATCCTAGTGTTTCCTTCCTAGGCCCGCATGCCTCACAGGTATTGGGTCAGAAGTGACCAGGTGTACCTTTTATTCTCACAGCTCCATGGCCCAGCGATCAGACCTCTTTGAGCTGGACTGCCAGCTAACCAGGGATGGCCAAGTTGTTGTCTCCCATGATGAGAACCTCTTTCGACAATCTGGCCTAAACAAGAATATTCAGGATGTGGACTATGAGGTGGAGGTTTCCTTAAATCTTTCCCCACTTTCCAGTCTTCCCCCAGAATCTCCTTAATCCCCCCTACACACACACACACACACACACACACACACACACACACACACACACACACACACACACCCCCACACACACCCCCAAGATCCCTAAAATCTTTGCCCCTTCATTCTCTGCCATCCTGGTTCCCCCCATGATATCAACCCTTTCTCTTCTACGCTCCCCCCAGGACCTGCCTCTTTACAGGGAGGAATTGGAAGTGTACTTCTCCCCAGGTGAGATATAGAGGGGCTTTGGATTGGGGACAAGTTACTGTGAAAGTTAACCATGACCCCTGACCTTCCCTGGGAGCTGCCATAGGGAAGGGAGGGAGAAATAAGCAAGCTCAGGTTCCTTAGTCTGTGTGATGGGAAAGAGGGAGCCTTTACACCCTGCCCTCCTTCATAGACATATATCTGATTTTCTGTGACCTCAACCTTCCCTTTTACCATGGCCTTTATTCTTTTCTTTCACATTCCCCTCTCAAATCTTCAGTATCTTTAGTGATCTCTGATCTCCTTTCTGACCTCCAATCTCTTCTCTACCTCCTTTGTCCTCTCCATTGACTCTAGGCCAGTTTGCACAAGGATCAGACCGAAAGATGATTCGGCTAGAAGATGTTTTCCAGAGGTTCCCCCAAACACCTGTGTCTTTGGAAGTGAAAGTGGAGGATGAGAAGCTCATTAACAAGGTAAGGCTGAGGGGCTGAAGGTACTTGGTGGGGCAGGGGAAGAAAAACTGAAGAGTGGGGAACCCTATGTACTCCCAAGAAAGACTCCATAATGCCAGACAACTGTCTCACAAGAATAGAATACTTATATCCCACAATTTGTTCAGCCATTGCCCAGTTGATAGACATCTACTTTGTTTTTAGCTTTCTGTTACGACAAAAGTGCTATTACCAGCATTTCTGTATATATGGGTTCTTTCCCTGTGTCTTTGACCTCCTTTTGGTACATCTCGAATATATTCTTTAGGTCAAAGGGGATGCATAGTTTAGTGATTTTTGGAGTACAGGCCCAAAATATCTGGATGGGGAGAGCTGGGGACTGAGGATGATTTAAGAGCCAAGAAAGCCCCTCTGACTTTCCCCCACACCCTCAGATAGCCACCTTGGTCAAGCACTTTGGCAGAAGTGAAATAACCATCTGGGCAGCTGAAAAGAACTCTGTCATGAAGAAATGCCATGCAGCTGTAAGTTGTCCATTCTGCCCTGGAACCCCTTGTCTGTCTCGCTTTCTAATATTCTGTTGCTCTTCCACTGCCCCAAACCCCTACCTACCTCCATCTGTCCCATCACCCTGGAATACCATGCTATCTGCTAGTCCTGAAAGTAAAGACCCACCCTCTTCAGAGGCCTTCTGTCTCCTTCAGGAGACAGCATATGAGATCCACTGGGCTTGTTCTCCAGCTGCTTCTGAGGTTTCATTCCTTTCCTTGGCTTGGTTTGTTTTTTTTTTGGTAGGTATCAGTAGCATGTATGGATCCTGAGAGGTCTCATAGATAAAGGACTTTTGCCATCTGTGGGGTGGAGGGTTAGGGCAGATTTCATCAAGTGAGGATTTGTTGAGCTGGACCTTAAAAGGTGGCTTGGAGTCAGAAAAATTTGGGGTTAGAATTCTGACTTTGTAACTTGCTAGCTAGGTGGTCACAGTAAAAAGTCATTTCTTTGGTCCTGTTTTCTCATCCATTCAAATGAGTGGGTTGGACTAGAGAATCTTGAAAGTCTCTTACTACTCTAACATTTTATTTTGACAGACAGAGAAGGGCATTCCAGGTAGAGAAAGCAAAGTAAGCTTTTTTCCTTTGAGCCAAGCAAAGGAAGTTAGTGTGACATCTGAAGGGGGCACATTGAAGACTCTAGCATATCTGGATTGGAGTGTTATATTTTGGGGCACAGACCAGGCTATTAACTAGGAAATCACACTGGGGCCAGATTATAGAGGGTCTTGAATCCCAAGATAGAGATGACATAATCAGGGTTTAGACTTAATGTAAGTATTGGTTATCCCAGAAGCATTCTGCTGTTGACCCTTAAACTCAGCACCTCTTCTCTGGAGAGCCCTGCTTGCCATTCACCTTCAGATAAGCCTTGACTCTGCCTTTCCTCTCTCTACGCCCTGGCACTGGCCCTCCTGGCTCCCCTAGAACCCAGATATGCCCACCTCTTTCACTGTGATCCGAGTTATTTGGTTGCTGTTGATGTACTATGGGGGACTATTGCCCTTCTTCTCCATTCGTGAGAGATTCCTGCTTTGCTTCTTGCCCACCATCATCAACAGGTAATGGGGCTGTTAGGGTGGGGCCTGGCCTTGGGAAAGGGACAGGGGCACAGGAAACAAAGGGGCAAGGGGTCTCTGGGACATCTCTTTCCCCCCTCTCCTTTGTGATTGCTGTTAGTAATGAAAAGAGTTACAATCATGGAGTGACAGGGCCAAGGAAGAAGACATTAAGCAGTATCTCAAAACCAGGCCTAATTGGCTGATCTGATTCCATCTGTTAATCCAGGACCTACTTCCCATCTTCCTGCCCTGCTGTGAATAGATTGCTAGCAGCCATAAGTAAGAGGTGAGATGGGCAAGGAGGGTGGGTTGGGCATTCCTGGGGCCCCTTGACCTCCCTTGTCTAACAATATTGCTTCTTTCTTCCCTCAGGCTGATCATGAGGAAAAGTCTGATCAGGCATCTTGAAGAAAGAGGGATACAAGTGAGCTTAATTATTACTTGTCAACAAATATTTCAGAATACATCATGTCTACTCAGCCCTGTGTTAGTTGCTAAGGGGGAAAAAGGAAGCAAAAAATCACTTTCAGTTACCATTATGCTTTACAGTTTCAAAGCATTTTCCTCAGAACACCTCTGTAAGATAGGTAGTATAAGTATTATTATCCCAATTTTGCTGGATTAGGAACCTAAGACTTAAAGAGGTCAAAATAACTTGCCCAAAGTCATACATCTAGTAAATGTTTGAGCTGGAGTCTCCAAACCAGGTCTCATTACAAAGTCCACTGTTCTACCACACCATGGCTGCTAGTCTCTACACCCAGGAGTTCACAGTCACAATCGTGAAAAGATAAAAGTGTATTTTATCATTGTCAAGTGGTACAGGTAGATGGAAATACTATAGGAGTTCAGAAGAGGGTTTAGAGAGGTTGAAGTCTTTATGGAGGAGGTGGAAAGGAATGGGTGGAATTTAGATAAGCAGAGAAGGATTTCCTACATAAGAGAGAACAGAGCACTTTCCTAACTTTATCTACTCTTCAGGTGGTATTTTGGTGCCTTAATGAGGAATCTGATTTTGAAGTGGCCTATAGGCTAGGAGCCACAGGGGTCATGACAGATTACCCTACTGCCCTTCGATGTTACCTGGACAATCATCCCCAGCAACCTAACCAGAGCAACTCAGACGGGTGACTCAGAGAGCTAACTGGGTCAAGGATCTCTACATTTTTTTCCCTTTTAAGTGTTTTGTTGAAGAACTGTTTTATATATACACCACTGTCACTTCCCAGTGATTCTCCAGCAGCACAGCAATAAAGATCTCCCTAGTAGTCAAGCAGAAGGTTGATTTGTATTGACTGCTTGGGCATGTCTGAAAATGTATGCCTCCTTCTGTTTAACATTTCTCTACCGAGAGGCAAGATATATTTCAGAATTGAGTGTCCTTAAGTCACAACTGGACACTTCTACATTGATTAGAATTCTTTAAATTTTTCAGTGTTGGTTTCCTTTATTTTGTTATCATCCTATATTGTTATCTCTAATTCTGCCGATTTTGCTCTGCACCAGATTATGCAGGTTTTCAAGATTTCTTAAAACACTTCCCTTCACCAGCACAATTCTCCCTCCCCACTGCCTTTCATCTCTTATTCCCCAATAAAAGTTTTCTTACTGAGTCAAGTGTCTTTATTGAGGAGGGGGCTGGGGACGAAGGCATGAGCAAGGGAGGAGAGAGTCCTGGGCTTCTGGTCTGGCCACATTCCTGACCCTCAAAGCAAGTGTAGTTTCTGGTGCCACTCCCAGCCTTTCTGGCTCAACCCAGTCGAGGAACCAATATTTTCTTCCCGGTAGAGACACCGCGAGAGGGCAGGCCGAGCCTGGAGACGTGGGATGGGGGGGGGGGAGTGGTCCCACGGGGCCGGGAAGCCTGGAGGGCACCTGCCTCCAAATTCCACCCCTGGAGGCTTTTTCGGACTAACGTAGGCACCTCGCGGCCTGAGGCGGGGCTCCCAGGCTTCCAACTGGCGTCCCCGGGAAACCCGAGACAACACATTCCTTCCGGGGCCAAGCCCCGGGCTGTCCCTGGGGCCCCAGCCTCCGGGAAAGCGGGGCTGCCCTCGGGAGCCTCCGCCGCCGCCCCCCGGCCCGGTGAGGGTCCCGGAGGCTGGACGGACGACAGCTCCGGGCCCTGGATGAGGACCCGCGGGCGAGAGCAGTCAAAGCGCAGGCTCCCCGGCCTAGGGGGCGGGCAGGGAAACTTTGTTACCGCACCGAGGAGGCCGGGCGCCCGGAACGGCTGCGGCAGCGGCGGGGTGGGGAGGCGAGGGGGCGGAGCGCGACGAAACCCCGCCCGGACTCTGAGCCCCTTTGTTTTCGGAGGGTCGGCGTCCTTAGCGTCCTACGCGCCCACCGCCCTCACCCAGCCCCAGACTCCGCCGCATTTCCGGAGGCGACAAGCCGTCGGCTCGGATGCTACCAGAGAGAGGCGAGGGCAGGGGGCCCGAACGATCCCGGATGCGTGACGCTCCCCGTTCATTTGCATAGAGCGCCCTGATTGGCCACGGCGGCTGCCGGGAGAGTGCAGGGAGGGAGGGGGGGAGAACTCACAGCGGCAGCAGCTGGTCTCGGTGTAAACAAGTCGCGGCTGCGAACCCCGGGCGTGGGGACAGCGCCCCGGCTCCGGAGCGCCCCACCACCCGACCCCAGACCCCGGAGGACCGGGCCCCTCCGCGCACCTAGGTGAGGCCCAGCACCCTTGGAGCACGCAAGGGTCCCTCGAGCGATGCCTGCGCTCCTAGCCCTCAAACCCGAGCTCCCAGGCGCCCACCCTCTGCAGCCCTTCCCCTCCCTCTCCCTAGACAGGCTAGGGCCGCCCTGAGGCCAGAGTTCCCCCCATCAAAAGACCCAGACTCCTGGGGCGCCCTCCTCAGTAGCTCCGGACCTGTGCACCCCTTCCCCTCCCCCTCCCCAGCTGCGCAGTTTTTACAAAGCAAGACTACTTCCACCCCAGAGGCCCCCTTCCAGCTTCTTCTTCCCTTTTGGGGTTCCCTGCCGTATCTTGAGTTTTGGCCCAGCTTCTAGAGCACACTGGATTGTCTGGGCCCAGGTGAAGGCGCTGGGCGGCTGAGTCACCCCTCCCAGCCTCAGTTTCCCCTGTGATGCAACTTGACGTCTCTCAAGGCAGTGAGTCAAATCGATGCTTTAACTGAACCCAGGCTGAGCAACATTCCTCCCCCAGGGAGGTAACCTGGCTCTAGGGAAGGCAGAGACAACAGCCAAGTCTAACAGCTGAGACAGCCCTAGCTCTGGGGAGAAGTCGGACACCAGCTATATGAGATACTGGGATGTGTTTGGTTCTGGGAGGAAAAGATAAACTGTGTATAGAAGATAGAGAACTTTGGGGTAGGAGATGAGGGAAAGGGACCTGATGCTTCTTCATGATCTTCTAGGCTCTGGGCTCCCTTTGCTCACCGTGGTCCCCTCCCCGGGTGGGGCCACTGCCCCCAGCCCCCACCATGGTTCGGATCTCTAAGCCCAAAACCTTCCAAGCTTATCTGGATGACTGTCACCGAAGGTATAGCTGTGCCCACTGTCGGGCACACCTGGCCAACCATGATGACCTCATCTCCAAGGTAACCTGCCCAAGAATTGGGGAAAGCTCTCAGTTCCAGGGATTGTACTCGGGAGGGAAATTGGAGGCCCACCAGAAATGACAGCAACTGACTCTTTCCTTTTCTACAGTCCTTCCAGGGCAGCCAGGGCCGTGCCTACCTCTTCAACTCTGTGTGAGTATCAGAGCTTCCCTTCAAGGGAGGGATTCCCTTCAAGATTGGTGGGTGAAGGCTCTTGGGGCAATCTCACAACTTCTAGTGGCCTGTGACCTCCCCTTTGAATCGGTGCTTTCTTGTAGTGCTGCAGTTTCAGGGCCAATGAAGGGTCAGGAGGGATTGTAACCTATTTGGGACTTGAGACTCTAGATTATGCCATAGCATAAAATTGGGCCCTAAGCTTGGGATGGGGTGGTGTTTGAGGCCCAGAGTCCCCTGAGGGACTAGTCTCATTTGTGACAGCCTGGTGACCCACCCCACAGGGTGAACGTGGGTTGCGGGCCAGCTGAAGAGCGAGTGCTGCTAACTGGGCTCCATGCTGTGGCTGATATCCACTGTGAGAGCTGCAAGACCACCCTGGGCTGGAAATATGTGAGTGTGACCTGTGACCCTCCCATGGTTCTAAAAGAATAGTCAGACCCCAGGTTCTGTAAAAAGCAGTGGGTTTGGAGTTTGAAGACCTGGACTCACATTATGGCTCTGCCACTTAGCAACTGTAACATTGGGCAAGTCATTTCCTCTCTCAGGGCCTCTGTTTCCTCATATGTAAAATGAGGATTAAACTAGATCATCTCTGAGGTCCCTTCCATGAGTGCTCTCAGATACTTTATCAGATTCCCCCTTTTATTTTTTTTAATAAATATTTTATAGTCTTGAACTTTTTCAAAGCTGTTTCACATTTGTTATGTCATTTGATTCTCACAACCACACCGAGTGTGTGAGGTAGGAAGCTTAGGTTATTACAACTGTCATTTGACAGGTGAGAAAACTGGTAGCTTGGTTAAGCCAGAAATTGACCTCAATCTCTCCAGAAGGAATACCCCAATCACCCTCCCATCCCCATCCCCTCCTTCCCCCCCCCCAACTGACTCTTTCCTGCCTTCCAGGAACAGGCCTTTGAGAGCAGTCAAAAATACAAGGAGGGGAAGTACATCATTGAGCTCAACCACATGATCAAGGACAATGGCTGGGACTGACCTCTGACCTCCAACCTCAGCCCCAATATTCTCCTTGATAAGATGATTCTGCTGCCCCCACCCCAGCCAGGCTGCTGGAGGAGGGGCACTGGTGGGAGAAACAACTACTTGCTTCCTCTCCAGGGACCCTGGGGAACTGCAAATTCTCCCTCCTCAGGGCTTTGTTGGGAGATGGCCCCAAGCCCTTGTATATACATTTTATTATTTTATTGCATGCACTGTGACTTTTTTTGGGGGGGGTAGGGGAAGAAATGTCCCTGTTCTGCAGCCCCCCATGATCTGGCTGGTTTGGATCTAATTTTTAACCCTCTCCCTTACCCCAGATTCACCTGTAGATACGCCCTTTGTTGTACATAACTCCCCGGCTTCCTTGTCCTCCTGCCTATATACCTCAAGCCTGTGCCACTCTTTCCCTATGATTTCCTTGTCCCTTCATGGTCTGTAGCATCTGTAAATAAAACTCCCGGAGATACCACTCACCTCTCTCTTTCTTGGAATCTCTGGGTTCTGGGAAGAACTCTTGTACCCAAGCACCCCCCCCCCCAACTCCCAAGTCGTGGATTTGCAAGCACTTCCTTTCATTTCTAGCAGCTTGAACAGGCTGTAGGAACTCACCCTCCCTCCCTTCAACTATATAGACAGGCTCATCTCTGACATTTATTAGTTGTGTGGTGATCCTGAACTTATTTGTAACATGGGGATATTCCTTGCACTACCTACCTCACAGGGCTGTTGTGAGGAAAACGCTTTAAAGCGCTGTGGAAATGTTACTGGTTTACTAGTCTTGCCTTCTGCCCATTAATCCTCAGCCTGTCCTTTTTTAAAACTGTCAAGGCTCCAGGGACAGGATCTACCCCTTTCTCTCGATCTGCCTTGATCTCCCAAAAGCAGCACCAGAGGCTCTGGGAGAAGAGTGATATGGCACGTAGAACATCTCCAATCTGGCTAACATCTGCGTTGTGTGTTTTGGAATCTATGGAGTCGAGACTACGGCTCCCAAGAAATGCAGCGCGAATTCTAGGCAAGAACGCAGGTTCCTTTTGCGCTAAGCCTCCTGGGAACTGTAGTTCCAATGAGCCAGCCCTTCCTAACAAGGCGGGGCGGAGATCTCATGTGCCGTTCTTCCTGGGTAACGTAGTCCAGTGTGGTGTGGAGCGGCTAACGAATAGCCCGGGGGCCCCTGCAGCCCTCCGGGTCCTGGGGAGGCTGCGGGGTCACCCGAAGGTCCACAAGGAGCTTCCCGAAGTGGCAGTCTAGACTGCTGAGTTCAGATTTCGGACACTCTTATCCGGGGATCTCGGGGTTTCTCCCTCCCACCCCAGTACAAGGGGAGAAATTGGAAGACGACTGTCCAGGGTCGGGGTCTCGCAGAGACTTCTGTTACTTACCCGAGGCCCCGCCCCCAAGTTCTATAGCCCTGCCCCGAGTCCCAGTGACCCCGCCTCCCAGATTGTCCCAGGTTCCCTCGTGGGAACCCCGAACAGCTGGCAGGAAGCGCCAAACTGCTGTCCTGGCTCAAGTCCCCGAGGATCAATCAGGCCGAGGAGTTAATTATGTAATTAGGGAGCAGGGGGCCAGGGCTAATGAAGCCAAGCCGTCGGGCTGGCTGGAGGGGACTGGGAGAGGGGGAGGGAGGTGGACTGACTTGTTGGACAGATGGGATTGAGGGGGGGGGACCCAGGCATTCCCATCTGGGCCCCATGGGCCGCCCCCCTTCTCCTCACACCGACTTTTCCCCCCTTTCCTACATCCTGCACCCCCAGCCTTGAAGGCCCCCGGGGGAGGAGGAGCTGTGAGCAGGGGCTAAGGGGGCTGAGCCCAGGGCTATAAAGGGGGCATCACCTGGGCGGGGTGGCTCAGAGCTGAGCAGACAAGACAGGACAGGAGGGGCCTGGGATCGGCCCCATGTACCATCCCCGCGAGCTCTATGCCCCTTTGGGGGCCAGCTACAGACTTCGGCCCCCCCAACCTGGGGGGGACCTTGGTTTTCCAGCAGGGCTGTCAGAGGGGTACCGTTACTCAGGTGAGAGGACAGAGCCCAGAGGCCTGGGTGAGTTGGGAGGGATGTCGACATTAGGACTAAGGATTTTTGTCGTGGGGGAGGGTGAGTGGGAGGGGAGAGGGTATAGCAGTGTTATAGTAGAAAGAGCTCTGGCCTGGGAGCCAATAGACTTGTCTTTATTGTCTTGGCCCTGCTACTAATTTGCTGTATGACCTTGGGCAAGTCAGTTCTTTTTTCTCTGGGCATCATTTTCTTTATATGTAAAATGAAGCAGTTGAGCCAGATAATCCCTAAAGTCCAAATTGAATGTTCTGAAGTTCTAGGAGATGGTACATAAGTAGAGGGAAGGGAAGGGACACAATGAATTGGGACAGTCCTTTACTGATTGTTTTCTCCTCCTCTTTTTCCACTGTACCCTAGACCTTGACACCCCCAAGTTAGACTGCTTTCTCTCAGGGCTGGAGGCTGCTCCCAGGCCTCTGGCTGCCCCAGCACCCTTGCCTCCATTACCTCCACCTTTGGGAGGAGAGTCAACTGCCCCTGCCTCAGCTTCTGAGGCCTCCCGCCTGCTCCCGGGAGTCAGCCTAAGCCTGGAGAACCATGATTTGTGGAAAGAGTTCAGCTCTGTGGGAACAGAAATGATCATCACCAAGGCTGGGAGGTGAGGCAAGGATCAAAAGGTGCTGAATTGACAATCTAGCCCCAGATGGGGCCTGAGCCTGCCCATAGAAGCTGGTTTGGGGCTGTAAAGGGTTGCGTGAAGCCATCCACACTTCCCTTCAATTTTCCTTGGTATAGAAAATATATAATTTTGAAATCATTGTGGTTGGGTTGGAGGGCAGTTGGTGTGGTTAATCCAGGGTTAGACTTCATCTATAGCTAAAAATTACTGCAGTATAGTGATTCCTCTTCTCTAAGGTAAAAAAATTTAGATGGAGGCTTCATGTTCCATTCTTGGGCAGGTAAAGCCTAAATCAATCAATCAATCAACAACTGTTTATTAAGTACTTATTACATACCATGCTCTACTGGTCCTACTGAGGAACCAGGAGGGAAGAAGAGGACTGCCAAGATGTGAGGGAGAGCAGCTTTCTCCACTGCCTTCTGTCCCAGAGAAAACTGAGTTTGAGGCAGGATAAGGTAGCAGAAAGAGCCACGGACTGGGGCTTTATGAAACCTGGGTCCTAATTCTGGCTCTGACCTCAATTCACCCTGAGCCTTTGAACCCAGGAGCCTGGGATTTAGAAAGGAAAAGGACCTCAGAACATGAGTTCTTAACCTGGGGTCTGTAGACACTGCCCCTCCCCACCTGATCACTATATAGATTTCAGAGTCTGAATTTGGTTGAGAAAAAGACGGTGTATTTTATTTCATGCATTTAAGAACATGATTCTGATTAGAGATCCTTAAGGCTTCACCAGTATGCCATAGATAGGGGTCCCATGATACGTACAAAAAGGGGAAGAACTCTATGAGCGTCTGTTCCAATGCCTTAATTTTAAAGATGAAGTAACAGAGGTCCAAGAGCAAGTCTGGCCCTTCCTTTCTCTCTAAAACGGAGGGTTGGAATAGATCCCCAAGGTCTCTTCTCCCACTGTCCTGAGTTCCATGCTCTGTCCCAGTCGTTTCTCCCCTGCCCCCCAACAATTGACCATTGTGATTCCGACCCCCCCTTGTGGTCAGAATTAAAGAGGGCCAGCCTAGCAACATTCCCACCCCCCTGGCTGCCCTACCCTTGCTCAGATGCTCCAGGCCTTCTCCCCCTGTGCTGCCTCCAGACGAATGTTCCCGGCCTGCCGAGTGACAGTGACTGGTCTGGACCCTGAGGCTCGCTACTTGTTTCTTCTCGATGTGGTGCCGGTGGATGGGGCTCGGTACCGTTGGCAAGGCCGTCGTTGGGAACCAAGTGGCAAGGCGGAGCCACGCCTCCCAGACCGAGTGTACATCCACCCAGACTCCCCTGCCACCGGTGCCCACTGGATGCGGCAGCCTGTCTCCTTCCATCGAGTCAAGCTCACCAACAACACCTTGGATCCACATGGACACGTGAGGCTCCAGTGGGTGGCAGCAACAAGGGAGCAGTTCTCAGGGGGAATCAGAGGGAGGGAGATGGTATTGTTGGGCTGTAGTGCCATAGGGTTGGGTGAATCCCAGGAGATTAGAGTTTCAGGTCAAGGGAGCAGGGGACCCCTTTGTTCCACTCATTTCCCTTTCATTCCTCTGTGCCTTCAGCTGATCCTTCACTCGATGCACAAGTACCAGCCACGGCTTCATCTGGTTCGGGCTGCCCAGCTTTGTAGCCGCCACTGGGGTGGGGTCGCCTCCTTCCGATTCCCCGAGACATCATTCATCTCCGTAACAGCCTACCAGAATCCTCGGGTAAGGCTCCCCTCTCACTTCCCTCACACCCTGGGGCCACCCCAAACCTTCTGGTTCTTGAAAGAGGTTTCAATTCGCCTTGACAACCAGCCTCGAGGGATGGTTGTTCTCTCTTGGGTGGGCAGTTGGATTAACCCCAGGTTTTCCCTTCCAATCATGTCCCTCCAGATCACACAATTGAAGATTGCAGCTAATCCCTTCGCTAAGGGATTCCGGGAAAACGGGAGGAACTGTAAGAGGTGGGAGTATTATTAGGGGCCTGGATGGGGGGTCTGGTGGGAAGAGCATGCGGCTGGCTGACTTAGGAAATTATTTGGGGGCGATATTGAACATATCCCCTTTCCATGGGCTCCAGGGAACGGGATGCCAGGGTTAAGAGGAAGCTGAGGGGACCAGAGCCTGTCATTATGGAGAACTATGGTGGTGGTAAGTGCTATTTCTGTGGCGATGAGAGCAGGGAAGAGCGTGCTCTACACTCGGTGGGTTGAGATTAGGGGCTGATTGCTTCCTTCCTCACTGTATGCCACTCTCACCTTTCCCTGAAACCTCTCTCCATTCCCCTTCCTTCATCTATCCTCCATCTCTTTCTAACCTCTTATCTATCTTTATCAAAGACGGTCCTGGAGGTCCCTGTGACTCCACATTGGTGGGAGACCTTCCAGATCAAGCCTCTTCGTCCACTGAGGTATCCACACCTCCTTGTGGAGGGCCCAGTGCTGAGGCCTACCTTCTGCACCCAGCTGCCTTTCATGGGGCTCCCAGTAGCCTTCCCACCAGGTGAGACAGGATACATGATATCTGAAGGTTGAGGGGAAACAGCATGGTAGAGAATCTGGAATTAAGAATCAAAAGACCTGGGTTTGAATTACTGTCCTACCACTTATGCATTAGCTCTCTGATTTTCAACAAATCACTTTTCCTTTCCGAGGATCATTGATTAGAGCAGATAAGAAATCTAGGCTCTCTAGAAGCCCCTTAAAGTTCCTCATTTTACAGATGAGGAAATCAAGGCTCTTAGGTTATGATGTGCCCAAAGTTTTACAAACTGGAAGTGGCAGAGCTGAAAACTGAACCCGGTTTCTTAGTGCTCTTTCTAATCATTTACATAGTGCTTCTCTCCACTCTCCCACCTCCCACCCCCATTTATAAAACAGCAGTAATACTATGCACTACTTCAGAGGCAGGGTGGTGTGTTGGACAGAATTCTGGATTGGAGGCAGAAGACTTGGGTTCAAATCCCAGCTCTTATTACTATGTGATTGTGGAAAATCTGAGCCTCAGTTTCCCCATCTATAAAATGGAAATGATAATGCTCACAGTCCCTACCTCACAAGGTTGTTGTGAGGAAGCAACTCTGTAAACCACATAAAAACTTACATGAATATAGGTTGGTACTATCTTTTTCCTGACCTGGCTTTCTTCTTGCCTCTCAGGGCCTCTTCCTTCTCAGAGGCTACAGATCCACTGTCCCGTCCTTCATCTTACCAGGCGCCCTTCCTAGAGCTGTCTCCAGGGAATGGGGGTTCTGCTCCTGGATATCCCCCAGCACCTCCAGCATCAGCCTTTGCCCCTCACTTCCTCCAAGGGGGGCCCTTCCCTCTCCCCTACGCAGCCCCTGGGGGCTACCTGGATGTTAGCAGCAAGCCCCTCTATTAAGTTAGAGGAGGCACCCAACAACCTGTCTCTCTGGAGCCTGGGTGACTCTTGGGGGCCATCTCCTTCCCACACCAAATGGCTGCTTTGGCCTCCTTCATCTCAGCCAAGCCTACCCCCACTCAGTTCACACTTCAGCTTTAGCTCACACCCCCCTCCTGCTTCAAAGCCTGTGGAGGTAGGCTTGGGGGGAGACCAGCTGCTCTGGCTTCCCCTTCCTGGGCTCTCACCTGGGTGTGAATGGAGGGTGGGGGCTGGGCCAGCAGGAGACTGGGCCTCACCAAAAGGACAGGTCAGGGGCCACCAGAAACCTTCAAGAGCAGCCCAGCTAAGGGAGTTCCTACAAGGCCTCTAGGGGGTACACCCCAAGCCCTTCACCCTTACTGCACTACTGTTTGACCAATATACATATACATATCCTTACCTCTATGTGGGGAAAACTCTCCCAGTGATGTAGAGCAGACTGTCTTCACCCCCACTGCGAAATGTACAGTAATTACTATTCTCTCAAAATACCTTTGGACTCCAGGCTTTTTTTTTCCTAAAATAAAACTTTTGAGTCACTTGTGTGTTGTTATACAAATTGTATATTAGATTGGGAGACAGTGGCTTCTAAGGCCATTTCAAAGCCCTCTTCTTTCATGAAGTTCTCCAATTTCCAAGAGAAATTCTAATCCAGGGTGTCCTATTTTGGTTACCTCCAAATCCTACCAGCCAGGTTTCCAGGTTCTAAGAGATACTCAAGATAACAGGTCCAAAGGGGGCTCCATGGGAATGAATGGAGATAAACCAACTGGGAGGCAGAAGGGCCCACCTGATGATCTAACCATGAGGAGAATTTGGTCTGGTGGAACAGAAACACTTCTTGCTGTCAGGCTTGTATTCAAATCCCAGCGTTAGTTACCACTGCTAGAGCTACTGACTCATCTCCACAACACTGCGAGGGGGGGGGGTGCTAGAGTAATTATTACTGCACTCCCGTAGAAGAGTGTGCTCTGTGAAACTTAAGAGCACTGCAGAAATGTGAATTAGAGTCATACTTATGTGGTATAGGATAACTGCTCCTGCTGAGCCAAATGGAGGTAAAAACAAAGGTCATTTTCTTTCTTTTATTAGAATTTTTTTTTCATTTTTTTCCCAAAGTTTTTATCTAAAAACAAACAAACAAAAAAGAGAAAACCAGAAAAAAAAATCACCAGAAACTTCGAAACAAAGAATCTGGGGGAGGAGGAAATTGGATCAAAGGTTGTCCTCCTTGCCCCCTGACCTCTGCCTAGGACAGAACACAGGATGGGAGAGGCTTCTCTGCTCTCCCAGTGTCCTCTGAGATCCGAGGGAGGAGACGAGGAAATCGCCCCCACCTTGGGTGACCCTGTCCTGCAGATGGTGGCAACAGGAATAGCAGGGGACAGAGTCACAGTGGTCCAAAAGGATGTTGAGGCTGGGGAGAGGAGTAAAGGATGGGGGTGGGAGAGGCTTGGGTGGGGTCACAGGAAGTAGTCAGCCACTGGCTTCTTGGAAGGGATGCCCCGGGTTTCCTGGGGTGCAGCTTCAAAGATGATGAAGTCTTTCTGGAGGTGCTCATCCAACTCCAAGATGGCTGCCACATTTCCACAGCTGTTGAAAGGGAAAGGTCAGCCACCTGAGGTACTGGACACCAGAAAAATCCCCCCGGGGCTCTTCTCCCAACTCCTCCCAACTCCAGAGGAGCTAAACCTCCCCCCTTCTTTTCAAGCCAGCCTAAGGGCACCACGGCTTCCCCCTAGGGTGTCCTGTCCAGAGCTCTGAAGCGGTCTCTGCCTCCCTTCCAGCTCACCGGTAGCAGTAGTTGGGTGCTGACCACACGGTGAGCACAGTTTCATTGAAGTGCCACTTGTAGCCTTCCATCACCAGCTGGTGAGCCCGGCATATCATGTCAATGTCATTGGCTGCATTGAACTGGGCCACCACATCACTTCCAAACAGGTAGCCAGCTCCTCGGGGACTCACACCCCAGCCCGTCGTGTCTGTAGGGTACAGAAATGGGAAATACATGTGGCCTCCCTCTTCTGGGTCTACAATCCCAGCTCTGTCGAAGTTTGGCGCTCCCTTCCTCCACTAAACTGGAATGCTGAAATCTGGGAAAGGTGTTTGGCTACAATGTAGCACTGGAGATAAAGTTCTACGTTCTTAGGTCAGAAAGATGCAAGTTTGAATTCCATCTAGTAATTCTTCCTGGCAGGGCCCTGCCTCACAGGGCTGTTTTAGCAATGATAAGATGAATGTAACATGCTTTGCACATCTTAAAGGACTAAATGCCAGTCCTTAGCAGAGATATTTGAGGGATAAAATTACAATGTGGAAGTGATGCCATTTTTTCGTAGCTCTAGAAAGCAGAAATACGATTTTTTTTAAAGGTAGGCTACCGGAAAGTAGATCTTGGTTCCATAAGAATGACCTTCTTAACGATCAGTTGCTCAGTAATGAGAATGGGCTCATTTGGGAGTTAGTAAGAATCCTATCATTGCAAAAGTAGCAGAATGACAACTTATTAGAAAGGATTCCTGTACAAGTGTGAAGTGACAGATTTGTAGTCAGAAGATGTGGGTTTGGATGCTGAACTCCTCTACTTATTCCTCTTGTGTCACTAGACAAGTCATGACCTCTATAGTCCCAAGGACTATTTCCTCATTTGCAGAGTGAGGAACTGAAAACTAAATTATCTTTAAGGTTCCTTTAAGAACCTAGATGGCCTTTACAGTCACTTTCAATGTTATGATTCAATTCAAACTATCCCTCCCAACCACTCCATGAAGTGTTTGCTCTAAGCCACTGCCTGGCAGAAAGATCCCAGCTTGATACTGCTACCAAGATGAAAGTTCCCCTGTCTGTTATCCAAAGGGAAAAGTTCCAGGTCCATGGCGCCCAAGGTGTCAAAGGCTAGGTCACTGGGCCGATTTCCATAGCAAATGAACAACATCCCAACAAATTAAAAAATTCCAGTGCTGCTCCTCCCATACAGAGTCTGCTCCAAAACTCAGCTCCCCAACTTGCCAATGCATAAAATCTTCTAGAAACCAAAAAACTAAAACCTTTCTTTTACTGTCTATTTTTCTATCCCCTTGAATGACCTTTCCCCTCTTCCTAGACCCACTAGTGCTTCCTACCACTCTAAATAAAGATAAAGCTCCCGAACCAAACACCACACAAAGATGTGGGGTGTGGGATTATCTACTCCCTCCCCCCACTTCATCCTCCACCCCCAACACCTCACCTTCAGGGTCAGACCAGAGCAAGTCACACATGGGCCCATCATGAGGCACCTCCTGCTTCCGGTCAATCGTCCGGATCTGGTCCAGGGTCTGGATAGAGGGAGAGAGGCCCCCGTGCACGCAGAAGATCTGGGGAAGACAGGAGGAATAAAGTTCAGTGATTCCTCTGACTGCTTCCCAGGTGACAGATATGTTCACCCCACTCCAGCCTCACTGCTCCCCTTGACCCTGCAATTGAGATGACCACCCTTTGCAACACTAGCTCCTTCCTACCTTGCCATCGATGATGGCGGACAGGCTGAGGTAGTCAAAGATCTCAGTGCAGTAGCGCCACACGGTCACCGAGCCATACTTTCGCAAACACTCATCATAGAAGCCATAGACCTGTGTGATCTGCCTGCTCTCGTGGTTCCCCCGAATCAGAGTGATGCGGTCAGGATACCGGACCTGGCGAGGGTAAGGGTGCAGGAGGGATGATGGTCACAACTGGAAGGCGTGGGTACATGGCAGTCTAGGGAAAACTGGCCACGGAATTGGGGTAAAGAAAGATGTAGCTTGGAGAAGTCTCCAGAGAAGGAAGCTGCTGGGGGCCATCTGGAATAAAGTCTTGAGGTGACTCTAGGCCTGGACTGTCTCATGGTTTGGTAGTACTGTTTGGAATAGTCCCAAGGAAAGTTTCTAGAAGTTAGGGCCAAAGAATCTATCCAGAGGTCTAAGAGCAGAATCAAGATGGAAGGGATAGTCACCTTGAGGGCAAGCAGCAGCAGGAATGTTTCAACGCTGTAAAAGCCTCTGTCCACAAAGTCCCCCATGAAGAGGTAGTTGGTCTCAGGGACGTCACCACCCACCTGGAGGGAGAGGAGGCTTCGTTTGTATCACCCAGCTCATTACCCAAACCCTCTTGAAAATTACATACATGTTTCTGTCCTGTCTACCTTGTCCAAATTAAAGCCCCACTCCAGGGCAGCTAGGTGGCACAGTGGATAGAGCACTGCCCCTGGATTCAGGAGGACCTGAATTCAAATCCAGCCTCAGACACATGACACTCACTAGCTGTGTGACCCTGGGCAAGTCACTTAACCCCAATTAAGAAAGAAAGAAAGAAAGAAAGAAAGAAAGAAAGAAAGAAAGAAAGAAAGAAAGCCCCATTCCATTCTGAAGAGTCCCTAATAATCCCATCGAATATGAATAGCACCAATTCCAGGACTGGTCTACATCAAAATTCCCCTTTACCCTACATCTCTGGCCAGATTAAAAGTTCTCATTCCAAATTTAAAAAGTTTCTAGGCAATTATGAACCCATTTTTTTGCCACTAAATCCAAGGGTCAGAATGATTATTATCTTTCCCTTCAGCTTCATTCCAACATATATACACATACTCACTCTAAACAGCTCCTTGAGATCATAGAACTGCCCATGGATGTCCCCACACACCTGGGGTAAAAATCACAGAACATTAGGCTGGCTGGAAGGAACCTGAGAGAACAGCTAGTCTAAACCTATCTTTTACAAATAAGAATCTGAGACCCATAGACTTTAGGTAGTGACAGAGCTAGAATTCAACCCAGCCCTTCTTTCTGAAAACCAATCAGAAGCCAGGAGGCAGCTAAGAAAGGAGCAGAAGCCCTACCCTACCACAGTCCGGAGAATTCTTTAAGTAGCCCAAGACATATGCAGCAGGGATAGGTGCTGGCTCAGTGTCCTGACTGGTTCATTCTGCCCTACCCACCAGATCCTCTCAGATCCAAAGCTCCTTCCCACTGACAACTCGTGTGATGTTACCTTAATGATGGCAGATGGGATACAACAGTGACACAACAAGACTCTCGCCAGCAAGAGTCTGAGTTTAGAGAATTCTGGGAGCAGGCCTCTGTGAAATGGAAACCCAATTCGATGTGGTGACGACCAGCCTGGACTCCAAATGTGTGTATGCCCAATGCACGTGTAAAATCAGGCCAAAGGACGTATGCAGGACCACAGTACCTAGAACTCAAAGGTACCTAGCAGAGGAGACCATCTAGTACTGGAGTTCTTAACCTGGGGGTCCAGGAATTTAAAAAAATATATCTTGATAACTTTTCCAATGTAAAATGATTTCCTTTGTAATCCCATGGATTTCGGATTTAAAAATATAGATTCTGAGGAGTTCAGAGGGTTTCACCAGACTGCTAAAGGGGTCCATGTCACAAAAAGGGTAAGAACCCTCGATCTCGACCAATTCCCTTTATTTTACAGCTGAAGGAAATGAGAGGGCCAGCTATGTGGCACAGTAGAAGAGAGTCCCGGCTCTGGAGTCAGGAAGACCCGAGTTCAAATGTGACCTCAGACACTTGATCACTTGATACTTACTAGCTGTGTGACTCTGGGGAAGTCACTTAACCCCACTTGCCTTGCAAAAAAGAAAAAAAAAGAAAGAAAAAGGAAAAAAAAAGGAACTGAGACCTAGAGCAATGCAGTGTCACGCCCAAGTATTAAGTAGCAGAGACAGAACTCAAACCCACGCCCTCTGACTCCAAGTGCAGCACTTTCCCATTGTTTGTGTGCATATTTGTGAAAGGAAGCCCAAACTCTTTACTGGGGGGTTTACATGCTAGGTCAAGTATAACAGGGGATGGGCATGCATGCATAAAACCAGCTCAGATTTAGGGATGGGGGAAAGGGCTAGGCTCCACTCACCGTGACAGGAGAGTCCACCCTCTGTACATTGCTCTCCTCCACCAAGATCTCTCTGAAGACACAAGGAGATGGTTGTCATAGCCAGACCAGGCCTCAGAGCAGCAAACCCTACCTCTATTCGTGGCTAGGTCTGACCTTGCCTTACTGTAGGCCTACAGAGCTGGCCTGGAAAGACTTCAAGGATCACTGTGAGAGGCAGAAGAGAACTGGCACCCAGATAGGACTCACAAGTGCATCAGGAGATTCTCCTGTGCTCTCTGCTGCCCCCCCCAATCTATGTTGCATCATGACAGCAATCTTCCCATAAAGCATAGTTCTGAATGTATCACTAGCTCCTTGTTCAAAAACCTCCAAAGCCTCAATTCAATTCAATTCAACATTTATTAAGCTACATTACCTACTCCATTCAAGATACTGTGCTAGGTGCTGGGGATACAAAGACAAATACAAAACAGTACTTGCCCTCAAGGAGCTTACATTCTACAGTGGAGAGACAACATATTACAAATACACAAATACAAAGGATATGCAAAATAATACATAGTAATCAATACAGAGAGTACTATAACTGGAGGAGGGAAGAGAATCAGGAAAAACCTTGTGTAAGAAGTAGCATCTGAGCTATATCTTGAAAGAGAGAGGGTACCAAAAAGACAAGGACACCTATGCACCTGTGAATCACCACTGACTAAAAGGCAAGTGTCCAGACTCCCTCCAAACTCAAGCCACCCCGCCCCCTGAAACCATACCATCACAGAATGTTAGACTTGAGTCAAAGAGACGATCTAAGTCCAAATCCCCATTCTAGAGAGAAGGAAAACTGAGGTTGATAGATAAGGGATACTAACTTGCCAAAAGTCACAAAGTTTAAGACTTGAACCTAGGACTTCTGACTTCAAAGCCTAGACAGTGTGCTTTCTATACCATGTCTATTCCCACCTCATCTCCAGTACTACTCTACGCAACATTTCTGCCAAACTGGGGAACTGCTCATTTCCCAAACAAAAAAAACCTGTTTCCCTACCAATCCACTTTTGAGCATGCAAGTCCTTCACTAACTCCTCCTTCAAGGCCTAGTTCTAATGCCATCTGTTCTCTGACATCTTCCCAGATCACTCTAGCCACATCTGTTCAACCTCTGAAATCCTACAGTACTTTATTTATACCTCTTAGAGTAGCACTTTTGCCATTTTATTCCATAAATACATATGTAACTACACACCCACCCACCTCAGATTGTATGTTCCTTTATAGTATGAACCACCTTTCTGTTGTGTTTTTTTTTTTGGAGGGGGGGAGTGAGGAAAGGACATTTCTCACAGAACTCTTAGATGACTAAAGGAATTTTAAAGTTTCTCTTCCTTTCTAGGGGCCCTACATGTAAGATGTAAAAAAAGAGGTTGGAGAAACTTGAGGGGAAGAGTTAGTCTGGGTCTTGAAGTCAGGGCAGAGATATAGGGCGGGTTCTCCCAAAGTCAAGGACCCAAACCTTCTCAGAGGAACACTGAGGCCAAACACTGTCTCATCTGGCCCTCTATACCAAAGACCAAAACAAGTGTCAACTGGATCTCAAACTAGTAAAAGTATCATTCCAGTGGTAGGGATGGTGCTCTGTAAATTCTTGAGGAATAGTGGGGCCCTTGATATCAGCACTGGCCTATTTCTTTATAAGCAGTCTGTCTACTGGGGACACCAGGACAATCCCTTCCAACTTGGCTACCAGGTTATCACAGGTAACCGAGCCAAACATGGGGATCAAAAATTGTAAGACCCTTGACCTAACCAAACTTTCCTTATTTCTTAGGGGCTGGGGTCCCTCCTTTAATCCTGGCCTACAAGCCAGGACATAATAGTTCTTACCCAGCTTTTTGTCAATATAAGATTTAAACTCCACCTCAGTGTTCCCGTCTATGTCCACCTGCGTCTGACTGGTCAACAAAGCTTTCACCATGTCACTCCTCTGCTCAAGAACCTTCAGCTACGTCTTATAATATCAAGCCTAAGCTATCTAACTTTCAAGATTGCCCATAATCAAGAGGCCCTCTCACTGTTCCTAGCTCACACTAAATTTCATTCCTTCCACATTGCTGCCCTATTGCTCACATTGCTCTCTCACCTCTCAAATCCTATCTATCCACCAATTTCAATCTAATGTTGAGGCCCAGCTCAAATCTCACCTGTTTCCAAGAAACCCTGACTGATTTGACCACCCTCCCTGATCTTCTCTTTGAAATTCTACAGGAACTTATGGCCCAACACAAAATCTAGCACTAACTACACTAAACCATGTGTTCTTTGGGGCTGTTTTCTGTTTGTATTCCTTATTCCAGGGGATGAGGAGCTCCCTTCCTGAAGGGTTAGGCTGTTTAATTTATTCCTCACAGAGCTGAGCCCTCAATAGGACCTCCCTAATGGCTCTGTCATTACACAGTTGCCAAGGGTAACCTGGCTACCCCCTCCGTAAGCATTAAGCTTCATCCCCACAATGGACACCCTCGGACTTAGCACGGGGGCTGGTGCCTGCCTCGCTCGAGTCCTGGAGGCTCACCTGGCCTTGGCGCACAGAGCCTTGACCTCGCTCTCCTTGATGAGCTCGCAGCGGCGCAGCTGCTCGATCTGCCGGTCCAGGTCACTGATCTCCGCCATGGTCCCCCCGCCTCACGCGGCCCCCCCCGGTGCGGGGGGGGGGAGACGCACCCAGGGGTCCGAGCCCCTCCCTACTCAGCCCGCCCGTACGGGTGTCTCCTGGAAACAAGGGTGAAGAGACAGGGTCAGCGGGTTAGATACACAATGTGGCCCGCGCCACTCCGCGCCAACCACGGGCTCCCTAGGCCCGGGGCCCCGCAGATTTCCCTAACCCCTCGCAGGCCCCAGGCCGGGCCCGGTGTCCCGCTCGGGCCGCAGCCCGGGATCTCCGGGAGGTTGTGAGGGGCAACCCTAGTAGAGCGGGGCCCAGGGGCTAGCTGGGAGAGTAGGACGATGGCTCACGGGTGAGAGAGAACTCCTGAGGCTATTACCGACGCGGCGGCTCCGGGACCCCACTCTCGAGCCGCGGGCTCTGGGCTCCACCTTCGAGCCTCCGTCCACTCCCGGCCGCCACCGCTGCTACTGCTGCTTCCGGCCCCGCCGCGGAAGCCCAAGGAGGTCACTTCCGTCGCGCAGCGGAAGTAGCGTCAGAGGTTCGACGCCCCACCCCTCCCGTCTTCAGAAAAAGAGGGCGGAAAAAAAAAATCGGGCAAAGGAACCGGATGTTGTCCTTGAGGACGGAAGTAATCCCTAAAGCGCAAGTCAGAGGAGGGGCTTCCAATATGAGTTATTGCTAGGCCCCGCGAGAGCCCTATGCTCTTCGTCCCTTCCCCGGGAATGATCCGGAAGATCCCTTCTTAGGGAAGAGCAGATATTATTATTGTTTTAGGTAACAGTGCGGTTGTACTATGCGTATTAGACGATTGAGAAAAGTGGGACCCAGAAAGCGGAAATGATTTGTCCAAGGTCTCAGCTAATTTGCGGCAGGCCCAGTATTCAAACCGGGGGCTCTGAGCGCCGCTGCTTCTCTTGTCTCTGTGAATCCGGCTCCGTCTCGCTGATTTTAGGGCTGTGGGCCGGAATGGAGCGATGGGCCCCTTTCACGGATATTTCGGTTGAAGCAGTCTTGGCTTCGGGGTCTTAGTCTGAGAGCATGAGCAGGAATGCAGCACCAACATTTTTGCTGATCACTTGCTTGCAGGCCTTCAAATCTGCTCTAGCCTTTCTTGATCTTTTTCAGCCTTACTTTCCATTTCTCCTTCCTCCCTCATTTCCCCTTCAGAAATATTGCAGTGCCTTCCTTATTCTTTCCAACCATCTCTCCCTATAAAAAACCTTGCCCATCTTTCCAGGATAATCTTATGTGGGCTTCCCTGAACCTTCTTGAAACCCATAGCATTTTTCCTTTATGTTTTTCAGTCACAGCCCATTTAGGGTTTTCTTGGCAAAGATGCTGGAGTGGTTTGCCATTTGCTTTTCGAGCTCATTTTTTAAAGATGAGGAAGTGAGGCAAACAGGGTTAAGTGACTTGCCCACAATCACACACCAAGTAAGCGTGGAGGTCAAATCTGAACTCAGAAACATGAGGCTTCCTGATTCCAGGCCCAGCAGTATATGCACTGCGCCACCTAGCTGCCCTATAGCGTCCTTCCTTGTGGTGTTTGCCAACTAATAATCTCACATTTATAACGGCACCTAATATTTTACCATTTTTCTTCTCCTCACAATGGGAAACTGAGGCAGGTTGTACAAATAATGAATTTCCATTTCACAGGTCAGAAAACCAAGACTCAGAAAGCTTGAAGTTACTTGCCTGTGGCCATAAAACTAGCATGGGGTAAGTAAAACTTTTACCTGGTAGTCCAATGTTATGTCTCTTGCCTCCAAAGGCCAGACTGTTCACTGTTACTCTGCCTCTTACACTAGTTACTTGTTTGATTGATCTTCCCCACTAAACTGTGTGCCTTTGTCCATCTTTATCTTGGCTGTTGCCAGCACTGGGCCTTGAATGAGGAAATGGAGAAATCCTGGCTTAGGAATCAAGGCCTGGATTCTACTTACTACTCTTTCCTTGGAACTTAGCCAAGATACTTCCCTTGCTTGAAACCTATGCATAGAGTTGAACTCGATGATCTTGTCTACTGAATGAGTTGAAATAGGCCTCAAAGATCATCTATGCCTGAACAGGAATCCATAAAAGGATCATCCTCCACTAGACTTTCAAACGCTGAAGGAACTCACTTCTCATGACAGTCCATTCCCTTTTTGTTAATGATAGTTGTGTTTTACTTCCAAAATCTGCACCTTTTAACTTCCATTACCCCCAGTCCTGACCTTTAGAACCATAAGAAATAATCAAATCCTTCTCCTATATAAAAAACCGGTTGTAGAACTATTATGCCATAACCCCTAAACCCCTTTTTTCTTTTCCCCAAATTAAATATGCATAGTCCTTTCAATTGAAGAATTTCAATTTCTAGTATCACCATTCTGGTTACTCTTCTGATTGGTCTCCATTTGTAAATGCCTATCAAAACATCCCAAATATGTGCTGGATTGTAGAGAAAATACTCAGTATATGATTCTGAGAGATGTGTGAAACATAGTAAAAATATAACAAATATGTACGGACTTATACTTGGCAAAAGGAAACCCAAAGTTTTCTTTTGGGCCGAGCTTTTCTTGGATTCTGGATCATAGAACACAGATGACTTGTAGTAAACATTGGTCCAGGATTGACTTTAAATGTGGGGCAAATTTACATTGGGGTAAAGGAGCTTATTGACTTAAAAAAATCAGGAAACCCTCTTCTATATAGTATCCCTTAAGGACTGTAAATTTTAGAACATATTCTAAAGTAGAATCTGTGTAGTAGAACCCAGAGATTAAGGGGCTTGCTATGGAGGAGTGCTTTTCAATATACTATCATAGTATTGATAGCCAGAAGGAACTTCAGATCATAAAACCCATCCTCAACATAGATTAGACCAATGATCTCCAAGGTCTCTCCCAGACATAATTTTCTATTGCTCTTTAAGAGCCTTATTATCCAAGACTACACAGCTAGTAAGTGACAGGGTCAAACAGCTTACAAATCCACCACTTTTCACTACCATATCAAGCTGCTGCTTCTTCATTTTTGGGCAGAAAAAACACCTGATTGAAGCCTGGCTCTTCTATTCCCATGTACTATTGCCAACACAGAGAGAACAGATTGGAAACTGGTTCCAAGCAAGACCCATGCTAAGGAAGGAAAACTAACAAGAATTCTACCATGATATCCTGAATGAAATGAACCAGTGTCAATCATAGTTCTTTGAAAAAACAACCTCCCCTCCCCCCCCAAATATCGTAGGGATATCTAACCACAGTGATCGAGAACAATCTTGATATTGGAAGGGGGAGAGAATTTTAGGGCATGACCAACAGATGAGTACTTCTGAGAACCCACCTTGACATCTATGCTTGAATCAGTGCCAAGAGCAAATTAACACGATCAGGAACATCTCTCAGATAGACAACAATAAGTTCTGGAGTTCCCAAAAAACAGTTCCCAATTGTGATACACATCAATATTCCCACTGAGAATCTTGCTCTTGGGGAAGGGGAGGAGATTTGGCTGGCGAAGTGAATATGTACATTTACACATACCCTTAGGGAGATGATACACTCTTCTCCAGTGATCTAGTTAATTTATAGTTTGTATTTAAAGCTAAAAACCATCCTGTTCCCTATTTACAACCCTCTCCCACCCCCACCCCTTCACAGGAGGTTAATAGAGATGATTCAAGGCAAATATTGGCTCTTCTTGCTTGGACAAGACAGCACAAACCTACAGAAAGACCCAAGCGACCCATCAAAGGCAAATCATTAAGTTAAAGTTACCCCTGGCCCATCACAGGCATCAGACTCCTTGTTAAATAGTTGTTTATTGGAAAAAGTGGGCTGAGGAGGGGTCACTAGATTCACCAGAGAGCAACAACACCGCACAAGTTAGGAGTGATGGGAGAGGTCAGCACAAAGCTCTAGGATCTCAGCCTCTTCCTGGACTGTGAGGGATGGCCTGGAGTGTTAGGGCATACCCAGGTGGAAGGCCTTGACTTAGTTAGTAGGCATGGTTAGAGATAAAGAGAGACTCGCTGGCTGCAGCTCCTGACTTTCCACTTGGAGTATACTTGCCTTGAGCAGCTTGGCTGTTAGCCTAGTGAAGGAAGAAGGAAGTATGAGAAAGGCAGGTAGTCCTGGATCCTACCCACACTGACACCAAAGACCCAGCCCAGACGAACCCTCCACCACCAGAAGAGACTGAAGACTACTTGTTCTTTCCCCTTTCTTTCCCCAATCCTGACTCCTTAATTTATGTTCCCAGAATTCTGCCTGTCAGGGTGCCTCATCCTGGCTCTTTCCCTTGTCCTTCTTACCGTAGCCCGTTTAATATATTCCTCTTGGGCAGCCTTGACATTTTCCTTCTTTCCACCCCAGGTCTTGAGGGCAGATGCCTGCAAGGCTCGGCCATAAGAAAAGGTCAGGGCCCACGGTTTGTGCAAGGGGCAGGTGTTGATGGCATTGAGGTTGATGGAGGCATCCTCTTCACTCTGACCCCCAGACAGGAAGGTGATACCTGGAAGGGAGAAAAAAGAGATGGAAGAGAGATTAGACAGTATGTAAGTGCTGGTAACAAGCATTCCTAAAAAATAAAATAGATATAAAGAAAACATATGTGACCCAAGATAAGAGACAAATACTGAGGGAGAAAGGGATTTCTCTCACCAGTGACTGCAGGAGGCACAGTCCGGCGAAGGGCAGTGACAGTTGCCATTGCGATCTCCTCATGTGAGTACTTCTGGGTACAGGCATGGCCAGGGGTGACCATGTTAGGCTTCAGCAAGGTTCCCTCCAGATAGACATGGTGGTCACTCAGAGCTTTGTAGACAGCAGCCAGGACCTAGAAAAAGGGAAAAGTAACAAAAAAGGAGAAGTGAATTAGGTAATTACTAGCACCTTAGCTCCCAATCTACTTCCTTCTCAGTCACACTCCAGTGATTCTCACATCTCTTACCTTCTCAGTGACATACTGACAACACTTCAGATCGTGTTCTCCATCAGGGAGGATCTCTGGCTCCACAATGGGAACAATGCCATTCTATAAATCGAAGAACAAGGCTATGAAAGCAACCCCTACCTGGGGCTATCTTCTACCCCACCTTTGCTGTTAACAACTAGGGACACAGACTTTATCTTCACAACAACAGGTGTAAATTTTGAATTCCCCACATTTCCAAACACTTAGGTCTCAGGAAGAGATGGATATGTGCCTCCAACCTATCTCTCATGATAAGAATTATTTTATTCATTTTACAGGGCCAGCAGCTCAGGAAGCAGAATAACTTGTCTCAGATCACACGGCTAGTGTCAGAGCTAACAGGCTCCAAAGTCTGGCAAGTTTCCCACTCTATCACACTGATGCTTCACAGTTTCTTTTGTTTTGCTTTATCTCAGGTAAACTGACAACCCCTAGGAGACCTGCCTTCTCAGGACCCAAACTAAAGAATTTAGTACCAGCTACTATAAGGGTAATAGGGAAAGTTGATGTTTTTTCAATAGCTTGCTGACATGGCTTGTGCCATGTTCTCTAGAACTGAAAGGGACTTTTGGGAATATGGTAGGATACGGCAGGGGGAGGATAAGGAGGTACTCACCTGCTGGCAAATGCTGGCATATCGGGCCAACACATTAGCATTCTCCATGATGGCAAGTGGGGAAGGTGTATTATCCCCAATCTTCAGTACACAACGCCACTTGGCAAAGTCGGCTCCATCCTTCTTATACTGGGCACAGCGCTCACTCAGCCCATCCAGACCTGGTAGTGAGACAGTGGTTCAAGAAGTCCTTAGGCAACAATCAAGATGACTAGAGCTTAGATGGGGAGTAAGGACAATGAATGCCTCATTCAAGATAGGTGAGATAGGGGCAGCTAGGTGGCACAGTGGATAGAGCACCGGCCCTGAAGTCAGGGGTACCTGAGTTCAAATCCAGTCTCAGACCAAACACTTGACACTTACCAGCTGTGTGACCCTGGGCAAGTCACTTAACCCAACTGCCTTAAAAAAAGGGGGAAAAAAAGGTGAGATAGCTTGGCCTTTTTCATCCAGATATTTCTTACCCTGGGTGGTAGTCTCGCCATTGGTCCCTGCCAGGGGCACTACACCTTTGTCCACCTGTTGGGGGAGGGGTGAGAAGAGGGAATGGAATTTTTTTTTTGCTGTTCTTCTTTTTTTCTATTTAATTTTTAAAAATTTTTTCTATATGCTTTTGAGTTGAAAATTTTTCTCCCTTTTCCTCCCCTCCCACCATCCCCAAGACAGTGCACAATCTGATATAGGCTTTACATTTACATACCCATTAAACATATTTTCACATTAGTGAAGTTGTAAGTGAAAATTAAGACCAATACAAGGAACCATCAGAAAGAGGAAACAAAACTCAACAGAAGGTAAAAATAAGTGAGAGCGATTCGGCTTCCATAGTTCTTTCTTTGAATGTGAACAGCATTATCCATCCCGAGGCCTCTGGAAATGTCTTAGATCCTCATAATGCTGAGAAAGGTTCAGTTTAACAGTCTTAGTCATTGCATAACGTGGCTGTTATTGTGTACAAAGTCCTCTTGGTTCTGCTCACTTCACTCAGCATCAGACCATATAAGTCTTTCCAGGTTTTTCTGAAGTCAGCCTGTTCATCATTTCTTACAGCACAATAGTATTCCATTACATTCATATACCACAACTTGCTCAGCCATTCCCCAATTGATGGGCATCCTCTCAATTTCCAATTCTTTGCCACACAAAAAGAGCTGCTATGTATATTTTTGTACATGGGTCCTTTTCCCATTTGTTTGATCTCTTTGGGATATAGCCCTAGAAGTGCTATTGCTGGATCAAAGGGTATGCACATTTTTGTAGCCCTTTGGGCATAGTTCCAAATTGTTCTCCAAAATGGTTGGATCATTTCACAACTCCACCAACAATGTATTAGCGTTCCAATTTTCCCACATCCTCTCCAACATTTATCATTTTCCTGTTTTGTCATGTTGGCCAATCTGATAGGTGTGATGTGGTACCTCAGAGTTGTTTTGATTTGCATTTCTCTAATCAATACAATTTAGAGCATTTTTTCATATGACTATAGATGGCTTTAATTTCTTCATCTGAGAACTGTCTGTTCATATCCTTTGACCATTTATCAATTGGGGAATGGCTTGTGTTCTTATAAATTTGTCTTAATTCTCTATATATTTTAGAAATGAGGCCTTTATCAGAAAGACTGGTTGTAAAAATTCTTTCCCAATTTTCTACCTTCCTTCTAATCTTAGTTGCATTGGCTTTGTTTGTGCAAAAACTTTTCAATTTAATGTAATCAAAATTATCCATTTTGCTTTTCATAATGTTCTCTATCTCCTGTTTGGTCATGAATTCTTCTGTTCTCCATAGATCTGATAGGTAAACTATTCCTTGTTCTCCCAGTTTACTTATGGTTATCAGCCTTTATATCTAAGTCATGAACCCATTTTGACTTTGTTTTGGTATATGGTGTGAGATTTGGGTCTATGCCTAGTTTCTGTCATACTCTTTTCCAGTTTTCCCAGCAGTTTTTTTCAAAGAGTGGGTTCTTATCCCAGAAGCTGGGGTCTTTGGGTTTATCAAATAATAGATTACTATAGTCATTGACTACTGTGTCTTGCATATTTAACCTATTCCACTGATCCACCTCCCTATTTCTTAGCCAGTACCAAGCAGTTTTGATGACTGCTGCTTTATAATACAATTTAAGATCTAGAATTGCTAGGCCACCTTCCCCTGCATTTCCGGGAATGTAATATTTACAATACTCCTTTCATACCTTCTTATCCCACCCTTACTCCATTTGGACCCATATATCTTCTCTCCTTCCTTCCATTTCTCTTCCTATGTCAAATATCTTTACTTCACTTACTCTCAAACCTCAGCCCCCGGTACTTTCAAGAATTTTATTTTAATTCTAACTCAATCCCCTAAACCTCCTTACCTTGATGCCCACAATGCCACCCTTTGCCTTTATGACTTTGGGGAAGGGAGTACCATCATCGGCTTTCTGGTAAAGTGTCTCATGGAAAAGGATAACACCTCCAATACAGGAGTTCACTCGATCATCTGCTGTCAGAAGTAACTGCCTATAGAGGCGACGATTTTCCTCTGTGTTCTCAGTTCCAATGGACTGCAGCCGCTTTGCAATGCTACCTGAAAGGGGTTGAGGAGGGGTGTCATCTAGAGAGCTAAGCTGCTACCCTCCCCTCAAAACTCTGCCCCTTTCCAACACCCCTTTGTTACCAGTGGACTCATCTGCTGCCAAGATTCCCTTGCCCGGAGCAACAATTCGATGAGCTATGTCCGACAATTCTTTCTTTTGCTCTGGTGTCAGCGCTGGGTGTTGGTAAGGCATGTTTTCCTTGGCTGTGCTGGTAGTTTCCTGGGTGGAGATAGTGAAGTATAAACTGGACCTTTCTGCAGTAATGGTATAAACTTGTTTATGTAATTCAAGGTCAGATCATTCTTGCTACCCAACTTCTCTTTTCCCCTTGTCCATGTCTACTTCCCCATTTTTCGGCTTCTCTACCTTTCCTAAACCTAGGGTGGAGATCCAAGCCTAGGGTGTGGCTGTTCTTGCAGAACACAATTACTGAGAAGTCTGGGACACAATGAAAGGCCAGGAAAATAGCTTAGGCCCCTCTGGCATCATCAGCTCTAGGGGTCACCTAGCTTAGATGCATACCAAGGGATCACTGAAATATCCCTCTCATTTCTCAAAGAAACAAAGGTGAAAGAAAGCCTAGAACCTTAGATGAAACAGAAGGAAATATTCTGGACAGCAAAGGATCGGTAGACCGCGCTCCAGGAGACAATTTCCAAGATCCAGAGCTAGAATACAGGTTTCTTGAACTCCTAGTCTAGTGTAGTCTTCCTTTATACTATATATTCTTTCCTTAGTGCCAATCCCTCAAGGGCATTTCAAGGTCAAGCTGCCCTCCCTTTTAGCTTGGAGTTACTTCGACAGAATGAACATAGGGGGTGACTGAGGCATTAGGCTGACCC